GGATAATGCGCCTAGGCTTTTCCCGTTACGGCTGGAAATCGGGGAAATGTGGGCGTGCGAATGGAGACAACACGTTATTTTTCTCCGCGAGATTCCGATGTGACACAATTTTTTGCCACTCGGGCGCCCATCGAACATCCAACGGGCGTTTATCGGACACTGGTGCTGCGTGCGTAGTCACATCCGATATTGCGAAGTCTCACCTCAAGTATTCTTGCCGTATATCAAGCAGTCGTTAGATCACATATGGAGTATTGTGTTCAGGCTTGGGCACCGTACCTCCGTAGTGACGCTATGTGTATAGAAAAGACTCAGAAACTTGCGACCAGGGAGGTCGTATGAAGATCGTCTAAGTAGCTTGAGATTATTTTCCTTGGAACGGCGCAGATTGAGAGGGGATTTGATAGGGACGTTTAAGATCATTAAAGGATTTAGTGGCATTAGTCCCACCCATCTGTTTGGGTTAGCTATGTCGGACCCCCTTGCGAGCATCTCCTGAAGCTCAAACAACGTAGAGCTCGTTTGGACATCAGGGTAAAATTTTTACGAACCGAGTAGTTAACATCTGGAATAAACTTCCTTCTGATTTAGTGGAATGTGAGTCTGTAGAAGCCTTCAAAAGGGGCTTAGATGAGTGTTGGTCTGTCCTTTTTCCAGAGATATTGTAATTGTATTGGAATATGTAGTGTATTTTGATGCTGACACATGGAAGTGCAAAGGTTGCTCTTGTTCTTGCTTCATTCCTTTCCAGAAGCAAGAAGAGTCAAACTAACGTCAAAGTGCCGGGGACCGCTTCACTTACGGTCACAAGAAACGACGCTCGTTAGGCGAAGACCTCTATCGTCCGTTCTACCTGACCTGACCTGACTTCTCAAGTGATATTTAAATACCACTGTTTTGTAATAGCCATGGACCATGTCTGCATGTCTTTTCGATGTGTTCTCACTAAGTATGATCAGGTCACTGCTGAGGTAGTCCAAATATTTAGCGAGCGAGTCAGTTTCAGTTCTTTGTTGTACGACATCCTTGGCCTACAAGCTTGAGCCGGTTCGGGAGATATTTAAGACCTTCCTCATTGCAATCTTTTCCCCCACCTGTAACTTATTAAGAAACAGGAGACTCGGGCACAGCCACCACGAATGGAGTATACAGGTAAACACTAGTTCAGGAAGCGCTATAAGTGCTAGCGAACTTACCAAGCGGCTTCATCAATCAGCACCTGTGAAGGCTATCGACCGGGTACAAATGAGTGTCAGCAACCTCTTAGGACTGCTCGTCTACAGTACGAGTAGGATTAAGCTGGCGCAGCCGCAACAAAGTCGCAGTTTTTTGATTACGTAAACAGGCGCAGCGGTACAAACTCATCTATACCAATGTCTCTACGAGCTGACGGGGCTCGTGTGCATATCAACTATGAAGGTTTGCATAGTTAGCGAACATTATACTGTCTTTGCTCGTGAGACTACTCTATCTCAGGTTGAGTCGATCACAAGCGTCTCGGAGGATTCCTGTCTAACAGAAATCAGCATAATGGAGACAAGTTTTTGGACGCTTGCAAAGGTTATGTTCTTCCAAAGGATTTGGCGCTTATGCATTTTATCCAAAGCTGTTGCAGGAATTGGCCGCTGAACTGGGTGGCCCTCTAACTTGCGTGTTTCCAATAGCGCTCGACGGCCGTGACTTACTTTCGGAATGGAAGGAGGCAAACAATTGGCCGAGTTTTAAAGGCGAGGACAGTGCTCTGCTTGCGAACTATTGACCTGTCAGCCTGACAAGCATGGTAGTTAAGTTTGAAAAACTGGTCAGTGCTTCGATGGAAAATCACCTAAATAAATTTAGCATTCCCAATGCTGCACAACATGGTTACCCTTGTTGATTTTGTGTCTGACGAATTTACTTGTAGCTCCTGAAAGCTGGGCTCAAATAGTAGACAGTGGCTACGCTATTGACGTGCTTTTCGCTGACTTCTCGAAGGCCTTTGATACTTTCTCACATCAACGACTTTCACTGAAGTTCAGATGGTATGGGATATCTGGTGACGTTCTTAAGTGGATGTCTGCTTTACTAAAAGCGAGAGAACAGTGTATACGCGTGAGGCGTAGTCTTTCGCTTATACAAGCTGTTCTTAATGGCGTTCCGCAGGGCTCGGTTTTATGGATGTTGCTTTTCGCAGTTCATGTCAATGTTTTACCCCGGGGACTTGAACTACAGTCTCTGTTGTTTTCTGATGACCTCAAGCTCCGGAATATTGTAAATATCCATGGGGGCTCTAAAGCAATACGGAGTGTCTTCTATAGGCTCTGGGATTGGCCAACCTTATGGTTGATGCGTATGAATCAAGCGAAATGTTCTATCCTACGTATTAAAACTGCTAGTTGGAAGTGAAACCCATGTTGTCACTCTGCAGGTTGATCTAGACGTCGTCCACACCGCAGTGCTTCACTGGAGAAAATTGGAGGAAGACTGCTTATAGAATGTTCCGCATGATGTGGCTTATTCGCCACTCTTTCGGTGTCCTAACGGCCGCGATTCTTGTGAAGTTGTTCTCAACTTTTGTGCGACATCACATCGTTTACTGTACCCAGACTTGTCTGCTGTTTTGTAAAGGACAAAATGGAAGTAGAGAGGGATTTCGAGTAGGTACAAGGTTAGTGCAAGGATTACGGAGGGAAACGTATCCCGAACGCTCGCATAGCTTAAAGAGGCATCAGCAGCTTGCCGGTACCCAGTACCGACGCTACGCTGCCGCGTAACCACGACCGGTTTCATATGGGCTAAGGATACTGCGTAAGTCACCTTGCCCATAAGTAGGCTGGAATTCGCGCCGCAAGATTATGATACGAACTCCTTGCATCTAGGCTACGGGCCGGCTTAGCCTGGGTATGTATTCGATGTGACTTGGTTATCACTTACTGAATCCTAACGGTTAACATCAGCCCGGACTTGTCCTGGCTATTTAGTCCCACCCAGTCTCCGCGGTCACCCGTTGAAGCTGCACAAACTGCGTTTTGACCGGGTAAGGACGGAAACTCGCTTGTCGCGCTGGGTTTTGGGACGTTTTAACTCGCTTCCGGAGCACGTCGTTAGGGAACCTACGGTTGGGGTTTTCGAGCGTCAGTTGGATATTATGTATGACAGTACCGAATCTTCCTCTTCTCCTAACCGACTTGTACCTTCAGCTTTCTGTTCATTTCTTTCTAGTTCTACTCATACCTTAGGATTGCATTCCAACCTGCAATGGCGGCCACCTGTTTATGGCGACCAGCCAAAAACAACCCCAGTGTTTTCCCCTATGAGTAGTATCCCTATGCATACACTTGTCCATGGCGACCACCTGTCCAAAGCGACCACCTTTTGTCAGTCCCTTGAGTAGTCAACTTAGACAGGTTTGATTATATCATGTGCGTAGGCGAGTACTAGGTAGTGATAATCATGCTAGCTCCCTAGAACAACAGATAGCACTCGGGCACCTGGTCACCGCTTACCGAAGAGGGCCTTGTTCAGTTTATCAGGTGTAGGGTTGCGCAAGGTTCGAGGTGGACAGAAGTTGACTTGGCAGCGGGTGCCGTTGGTCCATCTCGCCTTCTGGGCTGGAGTCCACGTGACTCGCCTTGTGCTTGACTTGAGACTCTACAGGACATGGTGTGCAACCGACACCAGTGGTGCGTCTGCTGCCGTCTCCTAATGTGATTGCCTGTTTAATGTGTGTTTGGCGCTAAGTTATCTGGGGGATAATGGTTGATCATGATGCGGGGCAGTGAAAGCCGCAATGAAGCTGTCTCGCCGATGCCACCTTATCTTTGCACGATAGCCAGCTGTTTGTGACGGTATGTTGTCTACACAAGGTGTAGGCGCCTTGACGCTGAATGTTTGCTTAAGGCGTTAAGGCTTTCAGGTAAGTCCCCCTTCTCTCCCTCTTCTTATTCTTTATTTCATAGATCCTCATGGTTGTATGGCAGCGAACCATCAGTTCAAATGACTGATGTACTGCTGTTGCTGGTGATGATGTATCATTATTTAGCATACGCTTCACTCATACTTCACATAAACCGGCCAGGCAGGGTTGATGGGCAGGAAATGTGTGCAGTGATTGATTGCACAGGGTGTGATAGATCTTTGTTTTATCTTTTTCCAACCTCTCAAGCATACCTATTAATCCTTGGTTCAATGATACGCAAAATAAAGAACATTCATATTTTGTTGGTTCCAGCTGAACTGGAACTTGACCTACGTACACGCTACACACAGAAGCCATCGGAATTCACAACCGAACGCATACTGCATATTTGGCGACCCTGCCAGTTCCCGACAGTAGTCCTGAAAGCTAGATCGTTGCCCCTGAGGCGCTCGTTAACTTTCATGCGATTAAACTACTTGTCTTGGAATCTCGAACCTAGCACACCGCGCTCCTCAGTTGTTTTGTACACCAGCAGATCGTAGAACAGACGTATGCTAACCTTTTAGCTACCCTGCCTGCTCCCGACAGTTTTCCCTGAAGCTAAATCTTTGCCTTTTGAGGAGATCACTAACTTACCTGTGACAATACTGCTGGTCGCGGAATGTCTCGAATTTAGCACACCGCGCTCATCACTTTTTTCGCACATTTGCAAATCGAGACTGATTGGGCTGCTGTAAGCGCTGATGACAGCGCCTGTCTAAAGGAAGAATCATGTACCAGGCTTCAGCGTGACGTCGCAGTGATCCCCAAGTAAGGAGATGGTTGTACTTCGGGTAGATGGCTATTTATTCTTCCTCTTCTCTTTACCATCACGTTTGGCCCACTGTGGTCTCTTAATAGGTGGTTATGATATGGGCATTCAGCTACCTATCGGGTATTTGCTTTCCATTGCAGCTCCCCAAGTCCATTACGACCTACGTACAGGCGAGACACGGAAGTTTCGGAACATAATATGTTTGAATGTTCCGGCCCGCTGATCCGAAGTTGAGGTCACACAGACACTTCACGTTTGTTATTGCTCCTCTTATACACGGACGCAATGTATTGTGCTAGTGTGTTTTACATTTAACCTGTTATCAATTCCTTAGGTGTGGTTAACTGTGAACTTGACTTGGTAACTCGAATTTTTGAGGTTCCATACTAATCGAGGTTTTTAGCATAAGTATTGTGGAAAACTGATTGTATAAACATTTGAGACAAAATCCGATTGTTGCCAGATACTCTTCGCTCCGAGGCAACTTGGATCAATTACATTGGTCTTGTACCAAGCGTTTACTTGAGGCTGGCCGGTAACGTTATCGGTTTTTCTGTGTTCTAACCAGTTTTACCTTTATGCTGTTCGCCGTTTTCCTGTGTATACATGCTACAATTATGCCGTCTTTCACTTTATAATGTCTGTCTCGTTATGCACCAATGTGGGAGGGCAAGCTGTGCTTTGCTGGCGACTGACGATTCTGGAAGCATGCAGGACGACGAATGTAACCGTTGGTATCGCCAGCAGTGCACAGATCTGACTGCTGAACCATACGCCATGCTATCTATTAGCGACATGGTGCTGTTTATTTGCGTCGGTTCTCCTATACGCCGGCAGGGTCGTCCGGGTTTCCTCAGTCGAGACGTCGACGCTCTTGATGTCAGACTAAAATGTATGGAGAATTCAGTCACAGTGGTTACCACTATGATCATTACTCTCTTGTCAGGCAGGCTGGTTGGTAGAAGCATTTACGGTCTCCATTGATATCAGTTTGATAAAGCCAAAAGGGCAGATCAGCAGTATTGGTCAACCGGTGGTACCCACCATTGTGTCAAGAGCACTTGTTGAAGCAAATTTGGATGACGAAGAAACTGCTATCAGCATTTCTGTCTCTACCCAGAAAAATGCTGAGTACCTGGCCGACAAATTCACTAGATTGCTACGAAAGTGGACTAGAAAATCGCATAAGCCGGGTACCAATGCTTTCATTTAGGGCTGTGCAGGCAGCGGGTGAAAAGCACCAGATGCCGCCATCACGTACTAAGCAGACTGCGTAGGTGCCTACTCCATGCACCACACTCTGTCATCCGGGATTAAGGTCGTGGAATCTGACATCAACGTTGAGCAACGGCATGTCAATTTCCCGACACGCAGACGCTTTGGCTGCTCGCCTTCAACTTTAGATGTCGTGATAACGAAGCATGGTCACTTGTTAGAGGTTCATGCATATGCTCCCATAGGTAAGAATGACCACTGCGTTCTCACATTTTCATTGATTACCAAGAGATTATCGGCAAAATCTCGACTGATGAAAAACTTCAGTTGCGTCAATCCTAATCCGTTACGGGATAGGGCTCTACAGATCTACTGCGCTCCTGAACAAGCGCAAGCCACTTTAGAACAACCAACAACAACAGCAGTACATCAGTCACTTGAACTAATGCTTCCCTGCCATACAACCATGATGACCTATGGAATAAAGAATAAGAAGAGGGAGAGAAAGGGGACTTACCTGAAAGCCTTAGTGCCCTAAGCAAACATTCAGCGTCAAGGCGCCTACACCTTGTGTAGACAACATACCGTCACAAACAGCTGGCTATCGTGCAAAGGTGGCATCGGCGAGACAACTTCATTGCGGCTTTCACTGCCCCGCATCATGATCAACCATTATCCCCCAGATAACTTAGCACCAAACACGCTTTAAACAGGTCGTCCGACTGGGAGACGGCAGCAGACGCGCCACTGGTGACGGCTGCGAGCCATGTCCTGTAAAGTCTCGAGTCAAGCACAAGGCGAGTCACGTGGACTCCAGCCCGGAAGGCGAGACGGACCAACGGCACCCAGTTGGGTTGTCAGTGACTTCATTCCCAGCCGCCAAGTCAATTTTTGTCCACCACGAGCCTTGCGCCACCCTACATCTGGCAGACTAAATAAGGCCCTCCTAGGTAAACGGTGACCATCCATACGTAGTACCTGCCCCGGTCAACGCAACTTTTTCTGGGCGATCTGTTGTTCTAAGGAACTAGCCTGATTTCCCTGTCTAGTACTCGTGTACGCACATCATCGTTGCGGACACGCTTGTGTCATCCGACATCAGCAATGCTCCGCAAACAATGATAATCAAAGGCTTGAAGGCGCCTCAGTTCTTCAGACCTAAGGGGCCAAGTCCCGCTCCCATAGAGTAGGACGGCCCTCACTGTAGCCTTGTATACACGTCCTTTCAGCCGAAGGGAAACTTCTTTCTGTCGGCAAAGATGCCGCAGATTGTATAAGGCAGTTCTGGTCTTTGCAATGCGTGAGCTGACGTCAGTTTCCATAAGCCCATCGTTGCTGATGCAGCTGCCAAGATAAGTGAATTGATCAACCACCTCGAGTTCCTCGTTAGCAAGCGTCAAGGGTCATCGAGTGGTTGGTGGTCCTGCAGCAACACTTTGCACTTTGAAGGTGCGAAACGCATACAAACTAATGGGACCACTCTAGAGAGGCTATTCAGAGTTGATTGGACCGCCGCAACATCATCGAAAAGCAAGACGATATCGTCCGCATAATCAAAATCAACCAACCTCCCACCAGGCAAGACGTCAACGCCTACATGATGAGATTCCGCAAGGGAACACTGCATGACAGAATCCACGACGAAATTGGACAGAAATGGGGAAATCGGATAACCCTGACGAACACCACTTGTTGTCGGAAAGCTATCAGCCAGGTCATCGTAGACCCTGACGCGGCCTGTAGTGTTCGAGTATAGATCACGTAGGAACTCCTTTCCCCGCAAGTATTTCGAACAGAATGCATCGATCGACTGAATCGAAAGCACTCTTGAAATCGAGGAACACAGCTATTGTCGGTCTGCGGTATGCGTGGCGCTGCTCCAGTACCTGCCGCAGAGTGAGTATATGGTCTATACAGCCACGCCTTGGGAGGAAACCGGCCTGCTTTTCCGTAATTCGAGATTCCTGTTCTACATTGAGGCGAAAAATGAGAATCGAGACCAGTAATTTTAGCACAGCTGGCGTTAGGCTAATACCCCTGTGGTTATCACACTTTATGTGACTGTCCTTGTATATTGCCACTAATCGATTCACTCAAGCTAACTGTGACACTCTTCCTCTCAGATACGCTCGAATAGTGTGATCATTGCTTTGCAGAGAACCTCCAATCCATCCTTAAATAGTGCCAGTGGCAGGAAATCTGGGCCAACAGCACGAAAATGATTGAGGGCTGTGATCGCGTTTCGGACATCGGCCTGCAATAGAGCCTCTAAACCAGGGATATCCAAAGTCCGACCCGCGGGCCAAATGCGGCCTGCGTTAACATTTCAACTGGCCCGCGGCCTCATCATGAAATAATAAATTCGGACTTGGACTTTTTTCATACATGTGTACTTTTTGTTATTACCTTGATGTTAAACTGAATATGGCCCAACGTATTTTTACCTCAAACTGTGGCATTCCTTGCAAAATCTTTGGACACCCCTGCTCTAAACTAACCGGCCAAGGCTTGTCCTGCGTCATCTGATTAGCACGAGGTCCGAGAGCAAGTGGCCAACTGAACTGACCTCGAAAGTGCTCCGCCCAACGATCCACACGGCGTTCCTTATTGTGTACCAGTGCACCTGCGTTGTCTCTGTTTTACTGACGCCTGGTTTCCTGGGACCAATGATGCGGATTAGCTGTTAGGCCTTGCGGTAATTGCCTACTTCTCCTACTTCCTTCATTTCTTGAGCCCGACTGCTGCACTATGCTTTCTTGTCAGCACGCAGACTCCGCTTTAGTTCGCGCCTAATAGTCCGTCTCTTCACATTGTGCTCAAAGCCAGCCGGGAGTTTTCTTGTGGTTCACCGACCTCTCGGATATCCGGTGACTGGTGCGGTGACAATTGATAGTGCCACAAGCAGATGCTCCTGCGTCCTACATGGCGGCCGAGATCCTATTCCACTGTACCTCTGTGTCATTAAGACAAGACACCGAAATTTCGGTATGCATTGCATCTTGATAGGCTTGCCTGACCGAGGGCTGAGACAATTTCTCAGTTGCCACTTGGAGGAGACGCTTGGTGCGCCTCCTGGTAAAGTTCATGGAGAAACGACAGCGTACAAAGGCATCATCAGAGTCGACACAGGTACTCCATTACGAGCGGCAACCCAGGATGGGACCACGCCATCTGTAAGTTATTGCTATGTGGTAAATTTGGGTCCATCGCTGGCCAGCTACAGGAGGACACCAAGTGGCACTTCGGCGCCCACTGTGTCTAAAAGCAGTGCTACTAAGAAACAGCTGGTGCTCCGCACACAGTTGTAGCAGACGCTCACCGTTCTCAGTTCGTTCGGAGTTGAGCCCATAATTACCCGCGATTGTTTGTGTCGTGAGGAGCAGGCTGACTCGTTCTGGCCGTGGTTGCATTGACCAAATTTTCAGGTTGCATCAAATTCTCGAACATCGTCATGTCCACGGAAGACCAACAACGGTGGTATTTATGGATATCCGAGACGCTTTTGACTCAGTAGATAGGTCGTCACTGTGGAACTGTCTGTTACGGAACGGTGTTTCCGACAAGTTTGTCATACACTTGGAAGAGCTGTGTAGTCACACCTTTGGCAGAGTTAGAGCTTATGACAAGCTTTCTTCTTCGTTTCCTGTTACCGGTGGAGTGCGCCAAGGTTGTTCTGTCTCGCCGTTCCTGTTCAACTTTGCCATCGAAGATGTCCTACATCGCGCACTGGAAGGAGCCCAGAGCTGCGGCGTTGAGCTTCTACTCTGAAGCAGAGTCGTGGAATTGGACTATACTGATGACATCGATTTGTTGGGGGACGAGTCGCAGGCTGTTCAAAGCATTCTGAACCGCTCAGCGATAGAGGCATCTAAGTATGGTCTGTATTTTGCTCCATCCATGTGTAAAGCTTTGCTCTAAGCTTGGCACTCTCCTGTACCTACTCTCACCATTTCGGGTGTCAGCCTGGAGTTCGTTAATAGCTTTACTTACCTCGGGAGTTGCATCACGGCTGGTGGCGGTGTTGGCGATGAAATTTCACAAAGAATTGCCAAAGGTCACCTTGCATTTATTAACCTAAGACACTTGTGGCGTTTTCGCAATTTCATTCTCAAGCTCAAAGACCGAGTGTACAAAGCCACAGTTAGTGCTGTCCTACTGTACAGCTGCGGGACCTGGCCTGTTCGGTCAGGAGATTTGAGACGACTGTCTACTTTCGATAACCCCTGCTTGCGCTCGATTGCTCGCGTATGGTGGCAGCACTGTGTGAGCAACGCGGAAGTTAGAAGCAGAATCATGGTAGCGAACAGTCCTTATCTCCAG